GTCTGGTCAGCTATCCTTGTGGGGACTCTCCATAGGCGTAATGGTTTTTCTACTGTACAGACCGTATATTCTATCACCCTACACCAACCCTACCCCTAAACCTACCCCTCACAGGAAACTTTCTGCATTTTTAGATTTTCAAAAAACTTCATTCTGTATGATTTATAAGCTTTTGTACTCATGGGGACCACAATTTAGGTCCCCACCGTGACACGAGTCCCCATGAGTCTGTGTGTAGTCAGGTTTAAGTCCCCACCAGGATATATAAACCAGTACACACACACACAAACTGATCAGTTTTTTTATAGTGTGAAGCTGCAAGCTTTAAGTTGATAATATATAGTATAACCCACCCAAATGAAAATATGTGGAACAGAATTATGATTGTACCTTAATAAAATTCATTCATTTTCAAAATGTTGAAAAAAGCATAATAAAATTATATATATTGTTGCAAAACATCTAATTTTGTAGTTTTCAGTTAATAGTAAAGCTAAACTAAAATAAAGCTGTATACATTTTTAAGAAAAATGTAACTGCCCATTTTGAATGAAGTAATGCAAAATACAGTTTCTTGGCAGATAAGCAATATGGTAAAACTTTACTTGAAGCCTTTATATATAATGCATTAATAAAAAAATTAATTACAACTATTTTAAATTATGCCTTGAAATGCAACTTAAAATGCATTGTGTAATCTAATGAATAATTGTAACCACAGTTATAATACTTATCTATTCATTGTTACACCTTTCAAAAGTATAATGCATTAAAACACATGGCAATCAAGGAATCTGCAGATATTAAAATGCATTTTAATTTTAGTTACAATTATTTATGAAAAGATACAATGCATCGCAATACCTTTATAATGCATTATACACAAAGGCTTCCAAGTAAAGTTGACCAGAAATGTATTACTGGCATTGATTAGAATGAAAACAGTTAGTCAAACTTCACCCAGAATTCCCACTCTTTCTCTCTCCTTGTGCGTCAACCCTTCTGTATGCGTCTCACAGCTGTGTGATTGTATGTTTTGAAGTGTTTTAATGGTTTGTGACTGTTGTTTGGTAACATATGCAGTTTGGTTGCATCTCAAACTGTGGCTGGTGTTTCAGTAGTGGAGGAGGAGCAGCAGTTGGCTCTGTCGCCCAAGAAAAAACAGCGTAACGGAGGGATGAGAACGTCGCCCACATGCTCACCCAAAATCATCAGGTAAGAGCACAACTGTCTGTTTCTGTTTCTGCAGAACTCACTTCTATGAATGCTAGTGAAATAATGCCATATTGCTCATAGTAGTGAGTTTTGCATGAGAAAACCCTTCACATTTAGCGTCTCTATCCTCTCTCATGCTCACTAAACGGGTGACACGACCCTCGGCTCCAGCCAATCAGAGGCCGCGGTCGGTCTGTGTCGCCTCAGGCTGTGGTTCTCTTGCTGCAGTCCGATGTGCCGCCCGCTTTTACCTGCCTCTTATCCTGTCCTCCAGAATTACAGATCCATTTATTGATTTTGACTGATGAAAGAGCTGCTAGTGAATTAATAAAAGCCATTAATACTCAATGAAGGAATGAGAATAATATCTTCTGAATACTTTTATCAGGACAGCAGGCAGGAATACTTCATATTATATGGACAGTAATTAATAACAAGTGGGATTTAGAGGGAAAAATGACTCATATATTTATTTTATATATAATATAAATTTAGATCTAATGTTTTATATCTATATACGTGTATATGTATTTATTTATTATATTTTATTGGTATTTTAATTATTTTATAAACACACACACACACACACATATATTGTATCCATAAAATTCTAAACAAAATTAGACTTACAAAATTATATATATATATATTTAAAATAGAAATGATGACTCATACATTTATTGTATATAATACATAACTGTCATTTTTATATTGTTATATATCTATGTATGTGTATATATATCTAACTGATGACTCATATTTATTATATCTATCTATCTATCTATCTATCTATCTATCTACTCATATTTATTTTATGTATTATCACATATAATTATAAATAATAAATATATATATATATTGCCCTCATTTGTAAGTAGATAGATATATAGATAGAGATAGATATGTATATTACAAGTGTGATTTAAAGGGAAATAATGACTCAAATATTTATTATATAATCATCACTTTAGCTAATACTCATTATGATTTTCATATTTGAACAATCTCCTAATACATTAAGTTTTAACTTCCATAACGTAACGTAACCTCCTGCATATTAATAATATTATCTCATTATATATGAAATGGATCACAGAATGATTCACTGATTAATTTTTTGTCCCAGCTGTTCTGGCATTACAAAACGGAAATATAATCTTTATATTATACCAGTTTAAATTGTTTGTTTGTAGCTTTTTGGTGTAGCGAGACTGCACTGAAGTACTTTAAGTAATGATTTCAGTGAAGTCTGTCTACAAAAAACACCTTCTGTACTAAAAGATTCACGTGAAAGTCTGCTGTAGTTTCTGTATTTGAGCATCTGTGCGCTGTTTGTTTGTGTTGTCTCTGTATCACAGCAGCAGCAGGATGAGTGTGTGTGTGGTGTTTAGGGTTGTTTTGTGAGGCGTTTGATTGTCTGCGTGGTTCTGCTGTAGCCTGAGGCTCTCGCTCGTAGAAGCAGCAGTAACACTGCGGCGTAGTGTATCAGCTGTGGTTAGCGCCTCCGGCCTGCAGGCTCCAGTCAATTAGTAATGAAGAGCAGACTGAATCAGGCTCTTTAGAAAGCATGTTAGAGGGACCAGAGATCTCTCAGGGATTTCATGGCCTTTCTGTGTATTACATACATTCATAAGAAACACTGTGATATAACCTAAATATTCTCTCATCTTATGTATTCTTTTGCTGCAATATATACACACACACATATAGATATTGTATCCATAAAATTCTATACAAAATTAGACTTACAAAATGATATATTCAATCTGAGGTCAATATCCTAATTACATTATCACTATACATTATTAGTTTTGTTAGATTTATTGTCAGATGTATATAGCTGCTATAACAAAATAATTTTAATATGAAGCCAAAAAGATCAATGTTCTATTATTATATCTAGATCAAAAGATGTAATATATATATACACTACCAGTCAAAAGTTTGGGATCAGTAAGACTTGTGATGTTTTTTAAAGAAGTCTCTTCTGCTCATCAAGGCTGCATTTATTTGATCAAAAATACTGAAAAAAAACAGTAATCTTGCAAAATGTTATTACAATATAAAATAATGGTTTCTATTTTAATATCCATTAAAATATAATTTATGTCTGTGATGCAAAGCTGAATTTCCATCATCATTACTCCAGTATAAAGTGTCACATGATCTTCAGAAATCATTCTAATATGCTGATTTATTATTAGAATTATCAACAGTTGTGCTGCCAAATATTTTATTATATAAATAGATTTACAATATAAATCTTTGCTATCACTTTTTAACAATCTAACACATCCTTGCTGAATAAAAGTTAATTTCTTTCAAAAAAAAAGAAAGAATAAAAATGTACTGACCCCAAACTTTTGAACTGTAGTGTATATTGTTAGAAAAGATTTCTATTTTAAATAAATGCTCTTCTTTTTAACTTTTTATTCATCAACGATTCCTGAAAAAAATATCACAGGTTACAAAAAATTAAGCAGCACAACAGTTTCCAGCTCTGATAATAAATCAGAATATTAGAATGATTTCTGAAGATCATGTGACACTGAAGACTGGAGTAATGATGCTGAAAATACAGCTGCGCATCACATAAATAAATTACAGCTTAACAAATATACACATAGAAAATTGTTATTTTAAATTGCAATAATATTTCGAATTTTTATTGTGTTTTTGATCAAATAAATACAGCCTTGCTGAGCAGAGGAGACTTCTTTTAAAAACACTAAAAGTCTTAAACTTGATTATACTGTGTGACCTGATCGTACCTCTGATGTACACAGTCACACCACTGCTGGCGTTGAAGATCGTCGTGTCATTATATTGGTTTGATGCCACACACATGTAATTGCCTGCATTTTGTGCAGAAACCCTGTGGATGGTCAGAGTGTCGTTATTCCTGTCGTACAGCATCTGAACTGGTGAGTCGTTCCAGAGCCAATCATAGGAGACGTACGTTCCTTTGGTTTTTGTGCACAGAGGGGTATTGCAGCAACAAAATCATTCCATAAAATTATATGAAATTACAAAAATATATATAAATTACACTTTAATAAATCTCAGTGATCTGAAAATTGCTGCACTTCATTTGGGTATTGATAAATGTAGCTTTATGTTTAAAACAAATTTCTAGGAGATTTATGCAATTTACAGTATCTTTGTTTTCCATGATAATCCCAATTGATGTGTTAATGATCAGCCTGTTTTTGTGTGCGTGAGTGTGTGTGTGTGTGTGTGTGTGTCAGGTCTGATCCACATGCTGCTACAGGACCCAAATGAGACACACTCACTCTTTCATGAGTGCTATGAGCCGATTGGCCAGATATTGATTTTGTGCTGGCGAGGATGGTATGAATGTGTTCAGCGCTGACAGATCAAGCCCCTGAGAGGATCAGATAGAGCGCGTTTGCTGAAACACTAACCGTATTCAGTGTGAGAGATTGAGTCTTCATGAATGTGCTGTCAGTGAAGGGCTGATCGAGTCCAGTCTGATAAAACTCAGATCACATTCATCCGGAGCGCCTCACACTGAACGTCACGAAAACATGTCCTGCTCACATTTCACTTGCAAATCAGAAAAATGGGAATTATATAAAGAAGATTACTTTTTTTAGAACCATTGCATTGCTTTCTGCATTGTGATATTATTTTAAAATGTTTAAATGAAAAAATAAAATCTGAATGAGATTTATATTTTTTTAATGTCATTTTTTATTTTATTTTAGGGTGAAACATGGCTCTTGAGACATGTTCTTGACAGATTTTTTGAGATTAACCCATTAATGCCCAGGTGTGCTTGTGATGTAATGCGGTACGGTAGCGTGTATCTGGCATTTGCTCTGACAGCAGGCATCTGGTGCGGCGCGGTGCTGACCGTGCGGTTTTGCTGTAACGGCACGCATTAAATTTGATGGACAGAGAGCTGGAGGAAGTGAGGAGAGCGTCTGGAGCTCAGCTCAGCCTCTAATGGCCTAATGATGTAGAATAAAGTCATAACTGCAGCTGCGGCTGATGGATGGAAACGCTCTCTGACAGGATGCTGAAACCTTCACTCCTCTAATGGGCCAATCAAACGTCCCTGAGACCCTGAGCTCCTGCTCTCAATCACGTCCTGTAACAGCAGCCCTGCTTCCAAGCATCCAATTCATTCCCTGCAAACATCTGATTTATACATTCTGAAGTCTGCCATTGATATCGTTGTTGTTGGAAGAGGAGCATGAATTTGACCATCTCAAGTTTTTCCTTGTTTTTGTGGTTTGTTTGTTTCAGGCACGACCCGTTGTTGGTCCCAGGTCACGATCAAATGGAAACAATGGACGAGAACATAAAGAAATATGATTCGACAGGAATGTTTCACTGGTGTCCATCAAAAGACATAGAGAAGGTCATGCTGGTAAGAGACATTCAGCAGGTTACACAACAGAACTGCAGAACTTTAGAACAGCAGATCTGAGGTCAGTGTTATAGTATCATATTTTACATATAGTAAAATGGCAGAGGTGCGACAGGCCAAAAAGCCAAAGCAAGAAAAACATCTCACCTGTATAATGATCTTACAGTAGTTATTATAATTTTGATGTAGTTTACATTTTTATATTTTCTGTTTTTATTTTAATTTTGTAAAATATGTTTGTTTATTTTCTTTTTATTTGTGACCCTGGAGCACAAAACCAGTCTTAAGTGTAACTTTTTCAAAATTGAGATTTATACATAATCTGAAAGCTGAATAAATAATCTTTCCATTGATGTGTGGTTTGTTATGATAGGACAATATTTGGCCGAGATACAACTATTTGAAAATCTGGAATCTGAGGGTGCAAAAAAATCACCTTTAAAGTTGTTCACCTTTGAAGTTCTTAGCAATGCATATTACTAATCAAAAATTAAGTTTTGATATATTTACGGCAGGAAATGTACTAAATATCTTCATGGAACATGATCTTTACTTAATATGCTAATGATTTTTGGCATAAAAGAAAAATCAATAATTTTGACCCATACAATGTATTTTTAGCTATTGCTGCAAATATACCCCAGCGACTTAAGACTGCTTTTGTGCTCCAGAGTCACATTTATATTTTTAATTTAGTTAGTTTTAGTCATTTTAGTAATTAAACTTAAAAAATGTTGCCTTGGCAACTATCTGAAAAAGTAATTTTGTTGTGTGTTTTTGTCAGTTTTATTACTTTTTTTCCCCAATTCTATTTTTTATTCTTATTTCAGTTTTAGTGTAGTTGTTTTCAGTTTTAGTTTTAGTAATTTTAGTACTTAAACCAAACAAAAATCACAAATGTTGCCTTTGCAACTGACTGAAATATTTAAAGTACAACTGAAAGTAGTTTTAGTAATTTTGTTGTGTGTTTTTGTCAGTTTTATTACTTTAAAAAGTGTATTTAGTTGATATTATTTGTATAATAGTAATAAAATAGTTTCATTATAGTATAATAGTTTCATTATTTTTAGTTGTAGTTTTAGTAATTTTATTACTTCAACTTAAACAAAAATTAGAAATGTTGCCTTGTAAATTAACTAAAATATACTATGAATTCAGATAGACTTTCAACTAAAAGTAGTTTTAGTAATTTTGTTGTGTTTTTGTCAGTTTTATTACTTTAAAATATTTATTTAGTTTTGATTATTTTTTTATTTCAGTTTTAGTTTCAATATTTTTAGTTGCAGTTTTAGTCATTTTAGTTCTTCAACTTAAACTAAACAAAAATGAGAAATATTCATTTGATTTCTGAAATATTGACTTAAAGTATAACCGAAAGTAGTTTCAGTAATTTTGTGGTGTTTTTTTTTTTCTTCATTTTTTTTTTTTATATCTGTTTATTTTTTATTCTTTTTATTTCATTTTTAGTTTAGTTATTTTAATTCTTCAGCTTAAACAAAATGAAAATTAGAAATATTGCCTTGTATAACTGAAGTATAAGTATAGGTTATTTTCAGTTTTAGTAATTTTAGTACTTCAACCTTAAATTAAAATAATAATTTCTATATAAATTA